TTCTTTCCAGATTCTATTGTTTTAGTGTTTTTAAAAGTTATGAGAAACAATTGATTTTCCAGATTTTCAAACATGCCTTAATTCAGACAGTAACATATTGTTTTCCTTCCTTTTGTATAAGTTAACAGATTAATTTCGGAATCTAAAATAATTGGATTTGACATGTATCTTCATATAGCAGGCATTCTGGTAGCATCACATTTTAGTTTTGTCATAATAAAGAGATTTAAATAAGTATCATTAGAAGCGTTTGATATTCCAGCTCTCTATAACAGATATCAACTCTAACAGTGTTACATCATGGTTTGGTTGTTATTTAACAGGAGTCGTTTGGTTTTTCAACTGTCTTACAAAAATTCATATGTGTCTCTCATGCAATTGGAATTTTTGTGACAATTATTTAATTTTACAAATGATTAAGAATCACGATTAAATGATTTGTTCTATCCTTGTTACCAAGTTCCTGTTCCAAAACTTAATCATTATTTCTATATCAGGTTGAACAGAATACGCATCATCTTTTTTAAGATTATCCACCATCAAACCACAAGTCTTTGTGGCTGACCACCTCGGTCCAGTAAATCTGACCACAAGTTGTAATGGTTATCAGTCTGTTGGGCCTGTATACGCCTACATGTGTTTAAATCATGAATAGCATTGTAATATATCAAGTCTACTGTTAATTCACACAGCCCGTCCTCACAGGTATTAAAATCCTTATCTAATTCACCTGCTGTCGTAATTGCAATTCATTTGAGAGAGATCACAGGATTGTTCTAAAAATCGACCACTGTACATTGGTTGAGAAGCATTCCACAGTACCATTGAGAGAAATAGAACCTTTAACTAACAATGTATTGTTGTGTATTCCTCGCTTTGTTCTGCCGTTGTCTGCTCAACTGTCCAACTTTACAGATAAAACACCGCATTCTTTTGAAGTGTCTGTGTTGTAGGAGGCACATACCTGTGCAGAGCTTCAGAACAGCACAGCATATAATCATTTCAATAATTATAAACCTAATGAGGGTGTCTAATTGTCGACCGCTGAACCGCGGCATGACGGGCTAATCGTACAAAGTCGAACAATCGGAGATCTGAAAAGCCAATACACAACTCCCACTCACAACTGTGGCCCCAGCTGATTGGGGTTACACAGCAGATCACATAGACCGGAGTAATGGAGCGAGTCCTACCTAAGGATTAAATGACTTCAACTAGGTTTGTGTAATGCCTTTGTTGGTGCCTTCAGTGCAGCACTAAGCCAAGACAGGCTCTTGGTGGCCAGTTTGTTCTGCGTCACTGGCCAAGGTATCGGCCTTGGTACACTTCCAAAGCTATGCCGTAAGTGCCTGCGGAATTGTCCCTCAGGTACGAGTCCGGTGCCTGTGTTTGTTTCCTAACTGGATGGAATCCGAGGAGCATTGTGCCTCACCGGCGACATTTTCAATGTGGAAAGTGTTTCTGTACCATCAATAGTAACTCCTACCCTGATCAGTCCAAGGTAGGTCATGTTTAAAGTCTCGAAAAAGAAGAACAAATTTACAAAATGATTACGGAATATTTTGGAAAATTTCCATGACATTTCTCATATTTTATTTTATATGAGATTTTTATAAAGTTTAATGATGAAGACAATTCTTCAAACAAAACAGTTGTAGAAGTCCTTTAACAGAACTTGTTCATGCTTACTTTTCTCAGTTGTAATTATGTCAATGAATTCTGCTTGGTACCTTTAATGCACGATCAGAGGAATGGGAGCCTGATAACATCAAAAGCAATTTGGAAGCCTCTGGAATGTTTTTTACTTGACCGATTCTCTAAAAAGTAGAAGGAGAGTATGATATTTATTGTCGTAAATCTCTACAAGTCAGATTGTATCGGTCTAATCAGCTTTTCGTTGGTTACCAAGGAGATCTGTAAATAAGTATCAATATTTGTATATTGTTCTCTTCCGATTCAGAAATGTTAATGGTCTGATGCCATAAACAGACCTTAATTAGTACAAAGATCCTGATATAGTTAACTATTTGGAAAGTTTTTGAAGGATTTTTCCATTATCAGGTTTATGATATTTTCTGTCCTATAATTAGTACTTCAAGCTTCCTGGTATGAATCAGTGCCATGTTGGATTTTTCTGGAGTAAATTGGACATTTTCTGTGTAACGTTGTTGCCTTATACTATTGTTTTAGAAATTATAATGGTTAAGATTTACTGATAATTCTGCTTTAGTGCTATAGGTGGGGATAAAAACTGAATTAGATGGTGTAGGGGGAATTGGGATAGAGTGGGGGGTCATGTATGCATAAGTGTGTTAGGGGATGTATAAGGTCATATTGGTTTGGGGTTTGGGGTCCGGGATCTGTTGAAAGGTCATCTTGGAGTTGTGGGAGGGTATTTTGGAGATCAGTCTAAGTGTAGAGATTTGGGAAGGACTTTAGCTTCATGGTGACGGACAGGAATATGAAGGTAATCAGGAGATCTTAGGAATGTCATATCGATCTTGTGGGGTGTAGTTAATGTGTTGGAGTGGGGGAATGAGAGATCATGCTTGGTTAAAGATAGAAGGAAGGAATTTGTATTGCAGTGGATTATACTTGAGCATTTAGTGGGAGGAGTAATGGAATGGATGTCATACTGTTTGATGTTTCGGGTGGAAGGATCATACCTGAAAGTGGTGATCATACTGGAGTGTGGGGGTGGGGGCTCTACTGATATATGAGGGTGGGGGATCAGACTGGAGTGTGGGGGTGGGGCTTCTACTGATATATGAGGATGGGGATCATACTGGAGTGTGGAGGGGGGGGGGGGGGGGTGGTTATACTGATGTATGAAGTTTGGGGATCATACTGGAGTGTGGGTGTGGAGGCTCTACCGATATATGAGGGTGGGGGATCAGACTGGAGTGTGGGGGATCATACTGGAGTGTGGGGGATCAGACTGGAGTGTGGGGGTGGAGGGTTCTGCTGATATATGAGGGTGGAGGATCATATGGGAGTGTTGGGGTGGGGGTTCTGCTGATTTATGAGGATGGGGGGTCATACTGGAATGTGTGTGGGGTAGGGGGGTTCTGCTGATATATGAGGGTGGGGGGGTCATACTGCAGTGTGTGTAGGTGGGAGTTCTGCTGATATATGAGGGTGGGGATCATACTGGAGTGTGGGTTGGAGGGCTCTACTGATATATGAGGGTGGGATCATACTTGAGTGTGGAGGTGAAGGGCTCTACTGATATATGAAGGTGGGGGATCATATACTGGAGTGTGGAGAGGGGGGGGGTTGGTTATACTGATGTATGAGGGTGGAGGATCATATACTGGAGTGTGGAGAGGGGGGGGTTTATACTGATGTATGAGGGTGGAGGATCATATACTGGAGTGTGGAGAGGGGGGGGGGGTTATACTGATGTATGAGGGTGGAGGATCATACTGGAGTGGGGGGAGGTATACTGATGTATGAGAGGTGAGGAGGTCATACTGGGGTGGGGGGCATCATACTGATTTCATACTGGACTATGAGGTATTGGGGATCAGGGCATGTCATACTGTTGTTAGGGATTGAGGGATCATACTGGGGTGTCAGGGTGTTGAGTTCTAGTGAATTGTACATATCATATTTGTATATAGGTGTAAACTGTCCAATATGTCAAAATACTTAATGAGACCTATGTACAGTAAAGCCTAACAGTGATATACCTCCTGTGGCCTAAACACAAACACCTATCAGGTTTCCTATTGTCATGACACTTCCTCAGGGATACAGGCCACTTAACAGTGAGTTCAGTTCTGCTATTAAATGTCAACAGTATTTCTTTTCTAAACTGTTTGAAAATTCCCGTTATACTTTTCACAGATGTTTGTTCATCCATATTTAGTAGTTATGTATTCTGCTCCGGTCTGATAGTTTTCTTATTGTATAAAATGTATATACCTATGTTTAAAATGAATGGTAATTGTCACATAATGCCTTATGCTTGATTATAGTTCTTTGATTATTTCTTTTTCACATCCACTAGGTAAAAGTTATTACATGGCTTCTAAGTAGTAACTTTTCTTATCCTGAACTCTTTGGATAAACATGCTAGGAATTGGTAAACATTTTGGCTACTGACTTGTGGGTAACACCTTAACACAATTTCATTTGTCAGTCTTTTCACTATGATGTCCTGTAGCATTGTTTGGCACTTCCATTATGATGTCGGGATTCAGGGTAATTGTTTCCCTATCTGAGTTTAGGAACTTCGTAGATTCCAAAAGATGCATATGTTTTTTCAGATAAAATATGAACGTTAATTGGAAGAAAAACCTTCTCCAAACTTGTGATGGCTGATTATCACGTTAAATTCTTGTTAGTTTATTTTCGAATTGTAAAATGACTCTTGTGACTTTATGCAATTTTAACTAACTTGAATTAGATAAACTGATACCTAACCAGAACTTGTTCGGTAACCTCTTCATGTACTGTGTAAACTGGAAACCTGTGTAGTCTGGATATCTGTATAAACCAGACCTTCAGTTAGCCCTTTCACCTCTATGTAACTTGAGTAGACTCTACCATACAGTGAAATGGATGAGTCCATTATGGTCTACAGTGGTGAAAGGGTTAAATACCACTGGGCACATTTCTATATAAATTGAACCTTTGTTATCTGCACCTCTGTGTAAACCAGACCTAAATACCACTGTGTACATTTCTTTGTACATGGAACCTGTGTAATCTGTGTACCTTTGTAATCTGTAAGCCTCTGTAATTCCCCTATGGTAGTGTAGCTATTAAAGTGAAATTTCATTAAAACAGATTCTGGTAATCAATTTACTTACTTTAATTTCTCTGTTAATTAGAAATCTTGTAAATTTCATTTGTCCTTCAAAAGGGTCCCCATGATAACATTTTTTGACAAAACCAGTGACATTCTTTCTCTGTCTAGTAAATATGAACACTTCATTGCTAAAAGAGTTAAAAAATTCAGGTGATGTTAAAGGTCGTGTTTTTGTACATTTCAGATCTGACTGATTAACTATGGAAAGGCTGGAAAAGTTTCAGATAATTTTCAACAATCCGACAGCCACCTATTCTGCAGGAGACACTGTGTATGGGTACGGATGGGTGGTTGTCAAAGACCCAGTATTCGTGGAAAGTAAGTAAAGGCATTGATTACATACCATATTTTACAAGGGATAATAAGCCCATGCTTGATAATAAATAAGCCCACCCTTTTTGAAACTATTTTGCCATTCTTTAGAAAAAATACACAATCATTGTGAGGGGAACCAATCCCCTAGCATTTCAATTTTACATTACTCCTTTGATAGCCAAAACTCCAAAGTATAAGTCAACACATTTTCGCGGGTTTCTGGTACTTTTTCCTGACACAAATACATACATGTACAATATATAGCGAAAAGAAAAATTCCACAAATGTAAACATTATGCTGTATGCAGTACAGGGGGATATTAAAAAATTCTATTTAACATGAAACATTGGTAGACTTTAATTCACAGTTTATGATTTTCAAACAGTTTCACAGATACCAATATTCATGGTAAGATAGTACGCTGCAGAAAGATATAAAAGTTTATAAAATTATCACTATATACTAAATTTAAAGTTTCATTGCATTCGGATCCCGTATAAGAAATTATACTAAACTAAAAATTATGGGTGCGGGGTGTGAGGGTCTGTCAAACATTCCTTTCTGTTAATTGCAAAGTTACAAATACATGAGACAAGTACAATGGACAAAAGGTATATTGTCCTGTAATTGTGAAGTCATGGATATAACAAAACCTCCCCCTCATCCAAGCAACACCATAAACCAAGAGACAAAATATGTCATGCTCAACTCTAAAGCACTCATGAATGACAAAAACAAAACAGGGACACGGGTGGTCGTGTCTGTTTTAGGCTGACCTCGGGTACAGGGGTCAGGTACACGCAGTGTGTTTTGACCTTCTTTTTAGATCAGTGTTGTGCACCCTGTAGAGCGAAAAGTGCTTTGTAACCGTCCAGCTTCATAGTACTTAACATCGTATAGCATTGCCACTATATAGCCCTACCAAATTCAGTTGGCATTCATAAAGCTTATGAATGCCATAGAACGATCGTTGACATCATCATTATTATGACGTCATAATTGTTACGTTGGATATCACTGACCCTCCCTGGGCGATGACTGTTCTATTCATTGAACAAGCATACACGATACATACATTATTTGAACTAAAAGCTGAATAATAGTAAGTGAAATTGAATTTTCTCTGAGATGAACAAGTTCCAAAAATGATAAATGTAAGTAATGAACTGCTTTAATTTGGCATTCATAAGCAATATGAAAGCCAACTAAAATCAATACAATGCTTAAATGAAACATGTACACATATGCGGGGCCTATTATAGGGTAACGTACTGCCCTGGTTCAAAATCCTTGTTCTCTTATTGTGAGGTCAATTTGTTGAATTGTTTATGTGGCATCTGGATATCTTGTTGTGTTTACTAAAAAAACTCGTTATTGATGAGATGATGAAAACAGGTGGAGACGGTAATGTTTAGTCTCGGGTCTGGGTTACAGACGGCAGTTTCTACGATAAGACTGACAGATGATCTGGGTTACCTGTCATTAGAGCCGCTTTATCTAGTCTTAACAGTTCATATAGCTTAAGTGATAGAAATGTAAAAATATTGGGAAAATTTTATGATGAAAACTTCCTCAAAATATGTTGAGTTCATTAACAAAAAACACATCCTAGCTAAGAAAAGTACATTTCTGCTCTAAATCTGTATCATTTCATTACTCAAATTTGTTTTTTTGCCCGTTTTGTGTTTAAAATTTTCAAGGAATTAGTCGGAGTAGGCCATTTTTTGGTGGTATTTTGTGATGAAAATGTCTGTCAGAGTTGGAAGTATGTGTATTTTGATATAGGAAATATTTTTAGAGGAAGTCATGCTTGGAAAAGTACCTACTTTGTTAGATAAATACTGGTGTAGTCTTTCGATCCAATGCTTCGGAAGAATTTAATGATAAAAAACCTTTCTCAAAATCGGTGAGAGTTGGAAAAGTTTTGATGATAGAAATGTTTTGATATCTGCAGAAGAATTGCTTTGATTGGAAAACTTTGTACAGCTAACCTATAAACAGTCGTAAACTGAAGATTAGGTTGTTTATAGCTGTCTATATTCAAGTTCTCAAATATGCTTTTGGGATTTCAGAGATAAGTCTGTATTTTTGGAAATATTTTCAGAAATCAATTTCAGCCCTAATGACAGATATGATCAAATATTAAGTCTTTATAAGACTGATGATTTAGATCTGTTTACTGTTTAAATATAGTTAAATCTGTTTTAAGAGACCACCTAATGAAAGTAAAAAAAATGGTATTAGTTGTATAAGCAGGTTTGACTGTATATATTAATTCTCTTGAAAATTAAAAAAAAAATGTTGGGGAAAAAAAAATAATATAAATCTTACAAGCTTAAGGGATGGAAAATATTTGAATAAGGGAAACATTTACTCCGCTAACCCAATTGCTAGTTTGGAAAAGTACCTACAACATCAGAGACCCCAATTGTAGTACATCTACATTCAGACCTGCTTATATCTGATAACATTATAAGTAGAATGTACCGCAGTACTACAGGTGGGTTTATCCTTTAATGAGATTTAAAGCCGCGGTTTATGTCTTTTAAACAGGACAGTTCACTGTGAAATGTGTATTAAGATACAAAAATCGGATATAGGCTGGTATACAACGTACCACATGGCACATTTCCCTAGAGAATTCCAAAACTTGAGGAATCTTTCGGAACTAAACATAGATCATATGCTCCTTAAAAGTTTTTAATACGATATGTTTGTTGTCTGAATCTAGTCCACCAAAAAAAACAGTTTGGCTTGCGTGGTGGCCTAAATGTACTGCAGGAAACGCTCTTGTAGAATACAGACGTACACATAGCTAAAGAGAATTATCATAAACAAGGGCTTTGCTAATTTACCAAGGTTTCAATGCTGGGAAAACGGTGAAATTAAATAAATATAGATTAAGATTCTTTTTATCATAGATCGGTCTGCCTAAAATCAGGTGCTCTACATATATACTTTATTATAGCTATTAATTTCTGCAAGAATATTTTTGATTCTGACTTGATAAATAAGATAATCAAATCTTATCTTATATAGTTTTAATATATTTGAAGGTCAGAGAAGAAAAAAGAGCACAATTCGCTATTCACGATATGCTAGCCTGGTTGATTGATTACACCAGTTCAAGAAGTGCCTCTTAGGTGAAATAAGGTTTTCCTTTCAAAACGTCAAAACGTTACATTGATAATTTGATATACTGCTGAGGATGCAACCTTGAAAAATAGCCGTGTATATTTTTATCATTTGGGTAAACAGTTTCTTTACGAAGACAATGATGAAGTTTTGGTAAAAAAAAATGTTCAGACTTTTAAATATTTTCTGTTCGCTATAATAAACAAAGCAATTGATTATTTTTGATTTTTTTCGTTCAATCTTTGTTTTCTTTGCTCCTGTTTACTTCCTGTTGTTTCCCTTGCAATCTAGTGAAACATTTTTTTTTAAAGTTTATTGTTTAGGCCTGTATGATGTAGAAATCTGGACTGAAGATATCTGTCAATTACTCAATCAATCCCTACATATGGGTTCTCAATATTATATATATCATACAAAGTTGGACTAAAATCTGTCACAACATTCTTGAGAAAAATTAATGAAAAATATTTTTGTAGAGTTATATACTAAACCAAAGCAAACTTTGTAAAGCTTGTCAGTTAAGGTTGTCACTTTGTTCAGCTTGTCAGTTTATACAGGTGGTTGCTTTGTACAGCTTGTTAGTTTATTCAGGTGGTAGGCTAAAAGGGTTGTCATTTTACACAGGTGATCACTTTATACAGCTTGTCAGTTTATACAGGTCACTTTATATAGCATGTTATATATAAAAGGGTTACTTTATGTGGATAGTCACTCAATACATAGACTGGTCACTTTATTCAGGTTGTCTTTTAATACAGGTTATCACTTTATACAGGTGGTCACTTTAACCTTCTGTAGTGTTACTGGTTGCCAGAAGACTTTATGAACTTAGAAATTGAGTAATTCGTGAGTTCAGGAAAAACAGGAAAAGAGTTTGTCTTCGTACCTGTAAATACATTTTACAGGTTTTTCTAAAGCTCCAAAATACTGCCGGTACAGCGATGTAAATATGGTAACTCCAGCCATTCTTGTTTTTCTGTACCGTATATCATAATCATCTCCATGTGATGAAATATTGTAACACAAATACCTCGCGTGTGTACGCAAGTATCTGAGGTAACGTTTACTTGAAAAATTGTTCTACGAAAACATGACGTCACAGATACCTTCTTCTTGCTTTGTGTATTGGTACACTTTAAGATGCTGACGTAACATTGAGATCAGTAAGTAGGGGGGGGGGGATTGTGATTAAGTACCTGGTGTAAAGGTAAGGGAACTTGAATCAGCTGTCTATTCTGACAAATTGAGGGCTGGGGGAGGGTAGAGGAGAAACTTGATCAATGATTTGTTAAGGTGGGATGAGGAAAGGTCCAAAAGAACATACATGACTATGGCGGTGTAGGGATTTTGATCTGCTACCTGTTATGACAAAAGATGGAACGGATGATGGGAAAAACTCCACTACGAAATATGATGGAAAGAAGGGACAAGGATGGGAGAAAGGAAAACGGAAAGATTAGCTACAATGTATGATAGAGAGAAGGTATTTGAATGGATGTGGAAACAGGGTTGTCTTCTTGTAATGTTGGTGAGAGGGGGGGGGGGCTTGAAGTTGGGGGTAGCTTGGTGGAAGGGGGAAATAGGAGGGCATAGGAAGGATAGAGGGACTAAAAAAACCTGGAGATGATGGATTAGCGTGGATCATCACGGTTCCATTCGGCGGTGATCCCCTACTGTTTCAGCGATACACATCACACGAACAATGCTGTAATTAACCAAACAACCTTCTCACATGTATCTAGCAGGCTAATTCTGAGGCTCGGGGTTGAGGCTGGTGCCAAAAAAGTTTGTAAAAGTCCTATATATATATACAGTTGTTTATGTAGTGCATGGGCTGTATTTCTGTTTTGTTGAATTGACACATCGC